CTGTGTCTCCCCCCTAGTTTGCGGGGCCGTAGGAGCCAACGAGACCTAAGCCTCCGGCCTCCTGTTCCGGCACAGAGTAAATATCATTGACGTTTGTCTTGTGCAGTATCATGGTTGGTAGCGTCAAAGAACAAGATGTGTGAATCAAAGTCTTTTGCTCAAAGCATTCACCAAAAGTATAGATAATTAAAAATATGTATAACTAATAAAACGTGAAAGTGAAAGTTATTATTAAAAGAGAGAGTTAAAATAAGTTAAATAAACTATAAAACTTTGCTGCACTGTATCAACAGTCTTCAGATTGTATCATTTCATTATCATTTATCATCAGAGTCCGTCAATTCATTATTTATCATTATTAAACTTATTTTCATTTATATTTAGTTGGAATAAAAACGAAACAAAAGGCAAAGCTCAATACTATTATTATTTAAAACAAAAGCGAGAACACAATTAAATAAAACCTCCGGAAAATAAAAGTCAAACACAAATACACGTAAAAATGGGCAATCTTAAGTAAAACAAATAAAAACAATACCTGATAAAACAGCAGACTCACTGTAAGATCCATAAAACGTAAACGGAAAAACACAAAAAAATGACAAAAATCTAAAAACAACGGCGGTTATCTGAGGGATAGTCCGACCATAGTACCGAGCAGATGCCTGTGCGCAACTCAAGCAAGGTGGTTGACCCCACCTTATTTATCCAAACAAGGTCGTGCGCCAGGAGATGTTCGCGCATCTAGACTCATTTCATGGTTAATTGTCGTCTGCCTTCTATGAGAGTTTCTTAAAATATTAAAATATTATCAATAGATTGCCTTAGTTTAAAAATAAAAGGAGGTTTAATACAGAAAAATGCACATAAAATAATATAAACAATAAAAGAAAGGAACAAACACACATAAATTCAAACACACGATAAAAAATATATCCGTGGGCTAGCTGAGGGGTTTGGCGCCAAATGGCCGTTGTCAGTTTTCCCTCGGCCTTGTCTGTCGCCATCTTGGGCGCCATCTTGTTATGCCCGTACCCATGAGAGCGACCTCCCAACGTCATCCTTCGCAGGCCTCGAGTGGGACATCGGGACATCGAAGCATGGATAGCTTAGGCCAAATCTCCTCGATATGTTGAAAAATGCCCAGGGCGTCTCCATCCTCCTCCTGCAGCGCCTCCGTCAGGCAGTACCTTCTGCAGCGTCTCCGTCGGTGCCTCCGTCATTATGCTCGCGCCCTGGCCCAAACTGATAATATTGGTCGCGGGGGCTTTTTATGGGGGTTTTGGGTGATGCTGAGCGGGTGTGGGTCGCCGGAAGAGGCAGTAAGAGCGGCAGCTCACTACAATACACATATATTGTGCGCGTGTGTATCATTGTCCGTCTCTCTCGCTCGCTTAGCTTTCACCTGCGGGCCTTTCCGGCTGATCCAACTTACCCTTTCCGTCTAATTCCACTTTTCTCGAAGCGTTGCAGTTTTCCATCAGACAACATTTTTTCGTGAAATAAACTCTTTCCTTTCCCTCTTCTGTTGTATAAATTATATTCTTCTTGATGATAACACTTATCCACTTATCTTTCTTCTATATTTTCTTCACATTCTTTATCATCAGCCACTTTTTTTCTTTTCTTTTCAAACCTTTTTATCAAACATTTATTTTCACACTCTTTTTTCTTCTCTCTTCACACCCTTTATCATCACTTCTTTCTTCTCTCTCCACACCCTTTATCATCTTTTCTTCTCTTTTTATTCACCTTTATCATCAGCCTCTTTTTTCTTTTCTCTTCGCACTTTTTTATCAGCCATTTATTTCTTCTCCTTTTTCCTTTTCACTTCTTTATCAGCCACTTATTTCTTCTTTTTTCTTTACCCTTCTTTATCAGCCACTTATTTCTTCTCCTTTCTTCTTTTCACTTCTTTATCAGCCACTTATTTTTTCTCCTTTTTTTCTTTTCACTTCTTTATCAGCCACTTATTTCTCCTTTTTTTCTTTTCACTTCCTTATCAGCCACTTATTTTTTATCCTTTTTTCTTTTCATTTCTTTATCAGCCACTTACTTCTTTTTTCTTTTCATTTCTTAATCAGCCACTTATTTTTCTTTTTTTCTTTTCACTTCTTTATCAGCCACTTATTTCTTCTCTTTTTTTTCTTTTCACTTCTTTATCAGCCACTTTTTCCTCCTTTTTCTTTTCACTTCTTTATTTCTTCTCCTTTTTCCTTTTCACTTCTAAATCAGCCACTTATTTCTTCTTTTTTCTTTTCATTTCTTAATCAGCGACTTATTTCTTCTCCTTTTTTTCTTTTCACTTCTTTATCAGCCACTTCTTCCTCCTTTTTCTTTTCACTTCTTTATCAGCCACTTATTTCTTCTCCTTTTTTTCTTTTCACTTCTTTATCAGCCACTTCTTCCTCCTTTTTCTTTTCACTTCTTTATCAGCCACTTATTTCTTCTTTTTTCTTTTCATTTCTTAATGAGCCACTTATTTCTTCTCCTTTTTTCTTTTCACTTCTTTATCAGCCACTTATTTCTTCTCCTTTTTTCTTTTCACTTCTTTATCAGCCACTTTTTCCTCCTTTTTCTTTTCACTTCTTTATTTCTTCTCCTTTTTCCTTTTCACTTCTAAATCAGCCACTTATTTCTTCTTTTTTCTTTTCATTTCTTAATCAGCGACTTATTTCTTCTCCTTTTTTTCTTTTCACTTCTTTATCAGCCACTTATTTCTTCTTTTTTCTTTTCATTTCTTAATCAGCGACTTATTTCTTCTCCTTTTTTTCTTTTCACTTCTTTATCAGCCACTTATTTCTTCTCCTTCTTTCTTTTCACTTCTTTATTTCTTTTCCTTTTTCCTTTTCACTTCTTTATCAGCCACTTATTTCTCTTTTTTTCTTTTCACTTCTTTATCAGTCACTTATTTCTTCTCCTTTTCACTTCTTAATCAGCCACTTATTTCTTTTTCTCACTTTATTCATCGGCATGTCTTTCTTTTCACCCTTTTTATCATATTGTTTTTTATTTACGTCCATTTATTATCTACTTCTTATTTAACCTTTTTTTTTCTTTTCTTTTCGAAAACCTTTATCATCAGACATTTCTGCTTTTTATTTCCTTTTCGCGTCCCTTTACCATACACTTCCTACTTCATTTTTCATTCTTCTTTGTCAGCCACTTCTTTCTTTTCTTTCTTTCACGTTCTTTTATTTATTAGGCATGTCTTCCTTTTCTTTTCACACTTTTTATCATGCTTTTCTTTATTCACATCCCTTTATCACACACTTCTTATTTCTCTTTTCTTAGTCAGTCACCTCTTTCTTTCCTTTTCAGACCTCTTTATCATCAGATTTTCTCTTCTTCTTCTTTTTTTTTTCTTTTTTTTTTGTATCAGACACTTCTTTATTTTCTTTTCACATCCCTTTATCGAAAACTTCTTATTTCCTTTTTCATACCCATTTAATGAGCCAATTTTTTCTTCTCTTTTCACGCCCCTTCTTTCATCATTCTTTCTTTTCTCTTCTTTATCAGCCACTTCTTACTTTCTTACTTCCGCACCCCGTTTACCAGATACTTTTTTCTCTTCTTTTTACTTGTTTATCAGTCGCTTCTCTGTCTTCTTTCATCAATATTTTTTTTTTTCTCTCTTTGCACTTTTTTTAGCAGATACTTTCTTTTCTCTTCTCACCTCTCTAACTCTTCTTTTTTCGTTTATCAACACATTTCTTTCTCTTCCCTACACACCTCTTTATCAGCCACTCCTTTCTTTTCTTTTCGCATTCTATTTATCATCACACTCTTCTCTCTCTTCTTTTCATACCTGTTCATCAGTCACTTCTTTCTTTTCTCTCCACACCTCTTTATCAGCCACTTCTTTCTTTTCTTTCCCCGCTCCGTTTATCCTCACACACTTTTTTCTTTTCATTTCACACCTCTTTATCATCAACGTAATGATTAAAGGCAAATGACGGATATCCGGCTTAATCTGTCTGAAAGGAGTTCCGGTCCCTTTACTTTCTCTTTTTCTAGTTTTCTTCTTCTCCTTTGCCTTTCTTCCTTTCTTTCTTTGATGAGCTCTTTCACTGGTATAAGAATCCACGAACCTATTGTGTTCTGTGCACTTGCAAGGAAAGAAACGAACACTTTTTTTTATGTGTTTATTTTTCATTTTCTCTCTCTCTTTCTCTTTCTTTCTCTTTCTCGCTATCCCTCTCTCTTTCTGTTTGTTTGTCTGTATGTCTGCTTGTCTATAGCTCTCTCTTTCTTTCTCTCTATCAATTGTTTTCTCTCTCTCTCTCTCTCTCTCTCT